ATGCTTTAGATAATATAGTAATAGGCAGTTTATTTAGTACGGATACTTAAAAACATTAGTTGATTTTTGTACCAAATAAAAAGACATTGAAAAGATAGCTAGGAGCATTGAACATTTTGCACTAACTAAAAGAATCATATTTTACTATTCAATGCAATCAGTAGTTTGGAATCTAGAATACCATATGTGAGCAACAAAAAGTAATAAACTACTTACACGTAGTAACTATATACATACGTGAGTTATCTCTTAGAGGCAATCACGCTGCACAGGTTGGCTCGTTTAGCCCTTATCACTTGCGACAGCGCATCACATTTTGGCAACAAAGTTGATTATAGATTCGTGTTGTTGTTGCACCGACCGGCAAATACTGCAATTCAGCCAAATTGCACGCGCAACTTTGCCGTCCACTAGCACTCGTTCAAGGTGCGGTCAACGCCCTTCTGCAGTCATATACTCAGAATATAATCTAAAATATATATACATAAATGTATTTACTTATATGCGCTATGAAACTTTTTGCAAACAATTGTATAAGGTGTATGTCTAAAGTTTCTATATGTTTCTATGTATATATAGGGCTTACAAAGGTAGACTGCATTTTCGTATATAAATCATCGACAATTAAGTTATAGGCACAGTTCAAACCGATTTGCAAAAGTGATCAGTATGAATCCTCTAAAGATTTTCTGTTTTATGGCTTTCGTATTAGCCATTGCTAATGCTTCACCCAAGCATGGCAAGAACAAGGACAACATGAATAGCTTAAAACCTGTGGATTGGTTATCGGCCTCTGAATTAGAATCGATGCCATCATTCGAGGATATCACTTTGCAACAGTTGGAGAACATGTCAGTAGAAGATGCCGAGCGTAAAATTGAGAAGCTGTGTAAGTGTTACAAATGGTTACATTAATTCTAATTTACTAGAAAATATAATATATATACTTCCTTTAGATCACTTGTCACAAATTAATCACGCTCTAGAACCGTCCTTTGTTCCGAGCCCCAGTAATGTGCCTGTTATCTTGATGAAACCCAATGGACAGCCCGAGCGTACCAATCTCAATGAACTAGTCCAAACGGCCAAGCAACAACCGAACTTTGGCGATGAGGAAGTCACCATTTTCATCACTGGTTTGCCACAGTCGTCCCCTTCTGTTGCAAAGGCAAACAAAAAGTTTATCCAGGCTTATATGCAGCGCTACAATGGACAGCGTCGACCAATCAGCAATAACCAGGACTATGACTATGGCAACAATAAGGACAATGAAGGTGCCACTTCAAGTGAAGAAGATTACAGTGAATCATGGAAGAACCCCAAACCCACAAAGGGCAACCTTGTGGTAAGTTTTAACACCAAATGTGTATTATATGATTTTTCTATCATTATCATTAACTATTTTCTGTTTACTCATTTAGGTCATCAACTTGGGCTCCACCCTCACCAACATGAAACGTTTGGCTCTTATCGATGTAGAACAAACCGGTAACATGATCGGTAAAGCTCTCGTCGAAATGACCAACGAATGTGATGTACCACAAGAGATCATTCATATTGTTGGACAAGGTGTTGGTGCACAAGTTGCCGGTGCTGCTGGACGTCAATACAAACGTTTGACAGGTCATCAATTGCGTCGTATCACAGCTTTGGACCCTGCAAAATTGTTCGCTAAGGACAAGGATTTGTTAACCGGTTTGGCTCGTGGTGATGCTGACTTCGTGGATGCCATTCATACTTCGACTTGTGGAATGGGAACACGCCAACGAGTTGGTGATGTCGACTTCTACGTCAACGGTCCAGCTTCCACTGCTCCAGGCGCTACCAATGTAATTGAAGCAACTATGCGTGCAACTCGTTACTTCGCCGAATCTGTACGCCCAGGTAATGAACGTAACTTCCCTGCTGTCGGCGCAAACTCAATTGACCAATACGAAAATAACGATGGCGCTGGCAAACGCGCTTATATGGGTATTGCTACCGATTTCGATTTGGAGGGTGATTATATTCTGAAGGTGAATTCAAGGAGTCCTTTCGGCAAGAGCACTCCCGCTCAAAAGCAAAGCACTTATCATGGCCAACACCAGGCATGGAAAAGCGGCAAAAACCAGAACAATTAATAAGCTAATAATTTAGCAACTGGGATCTCCCATCGAAGATTAGAAGGATACTTTACTTTTTAACTAATAATTTTTGTACCTTTTTGAATTTTCATAGAAAATAAACTAAATATTTTTCATGTAAAAATAGGCTTATAGTAGCAATTTTCGGGAATTTGAATGTACTTACGATTTCTTTGCTACTTCAAAATACCATAGAGCGCATTAATTTCTATACTATCTTATATAGAAACTCAGTCTATTTCATATTTATTTTCCCTTTGCAGTCACATAAATTTATAAATTAAGTAGAAAATATTTCATATCACCTATTGATTCCAGACTATTTCCAGTACAAAACCATATTTCAAAATTTTTCTAACTCTTATTGGAAGTTAGTAGTATAAGGGTCAGTCACTTTTTTTCACTACCGCCCCAAAACGCTTTTACAGGTTTGGTATCACATATTGCCCATTGTGGGAGCAAGATCTACGAAATTCAGTAGAAGTTCTACATTTTTAACGTTCAGAGCCATTACATGAACTTCATACCAGTGAAAAGTCCTTTTGAGCACATACTTTCTAAGAAAATACAAGTACATTAAACATTCTAGAGGAACACTTTCAACTATACCTATTAATGACTTTTTTTGGCGTTGAAATGGTTCGATTCAGAAGCACATAGAAATACCTCCTCTGCCAAAGTTCCTTCTACATCTACCAAGCTTCAATCTCATCTTCAGATATACAATACTACTTTTCGCATAGCCAATTCATATACATATAATGTATCCACATACACAAATAAAACTTTAGTAGCGTAACCTTCAGAAGCCTCATTCTTTAGCCCGCATCACTTTTTATCAAAAAAGTTGTTTAAAAACCAAATAATTTATGGCCACAGTTGAAACCGATTTTTAAGCGTGAACCAATATGCAATTGCTGAAGATTTTCTCTTTTATGGCTTTAGTATTAGCCATCGCTATTGCTTCCCCCAAGCAACTGCTTCAACTATATGAAACAATACGAAAATAACGACGGCTCTGACAAACGATGTCGCTACCGAATTCGGTTTGGAAGGCGATTATATTTTGAAGGTGAATGAAAAAAAAGAGTAATTTCGGCAAGAACAAAAACTAAGGCACTTATCATGGTCAACATCAGTCGTGAAGAAGCGATTGAAACCATAAGCAGGATTAATATAACATGCATTGGCTCTGTGAGATTAAACTAATTATTACTAAAATTTTTTTCCTTATTGAATATACATATGTACATGCAAAATAAAATCAAAATTTCTCATGTAAAAATATGCTTATTGAAGAAAACTATCAAAATATTCTTACTGTGTTCCCAACCAATTTCAGGTGTATATAACGACAAAGCTCATATCTAGTTTATAAGGAGAGTTATGTTTATTAAATGTTTAATTTTACTTTGCCTTTGAAAATCATTCAGCTCTTGTTGAACTTTATTCCATATATTTTTGCACAGCCGTTAAAAAAAATGTACACCTTTCTATTATTAAAATATATAAGTATTAAAATATACTATTAAGTATTACAAGAATATATACATATATATATGGCATGCATTTATGAATAAATGCTTATATTTACAATCAATCAAATTGTTGCCAACGTTCTTCCTCCTCATGTCTAAATGCTTTACGTTTTGATGGTGGACCGACGGGTTTTCGTATTATTTGATTGCTACGAACGTATGTTTCAGGGTTATAATTTCCAGATTCGGTGTCATCCCAATTTTCCTCACTTTCAATTGGGTCATGCTTCAGAAACTTCATCTCATCAACGTATTTATAATGTGTAATTATTTTACGATCAGGACAACTCACTAAATGCAGCTAAAATTTAACACATTATTACAAGTTTAAGATCGCTATTCAAAAATCTTACCTCGAACTCGGGCTTTGGCACCAAATGTAATTGATTCAGTGGACACTTTTGTAATTCCGCATGTGGATAATTCGAACGGCATTTAATTAGATGTAATTGCAAGCGACTCCTTAAGACACGATGTGCATTATTGTAGGTACAAGTAACAAAATCACCTGTATTTTTCTCCATTTGGCCCACTACAGTTCAATTAACTGACAATCAAGTAAATATTTTAAATTGTTTGTGGATTAAAAACTGTCGATTCGTGTAGACCCAGTTGCCAACTATTCAGTCTCCAAAAATAAATAAAACTAAAAGCATTTATTTAATATTGTTTTTTCTATGCAAATTGTATATAATTTGTATTATTCTTTTTGATAATATAAATAAATATGTAAAACAAGATTAGTAGATAGAAAATTTAATATACTTAAAATTTTATTTCAGTCTTGTCTTTTTTACATATATACTTCATAATACAAATTTTTGTACCTTTTATAAAAACAAAATATTTCATGTCCTTACCAATGCAGCTGATGTTTTAAAATAGCTTTTCAACATTTCAATGTGAGATTTAAAAAACAAAGTACTCAGTTAATTTTCAGAGGGTTAATTCTTTAGACAAAAAGTTGGCAATATTTTAATTTTGGTTACAGCAGAACGCAATATTTGACGAAGACTATTGAAATTTTGTGGTCTAAATAAAAACATTTATGCATATTAATATACAATTACTTTGTTTATGTGAATTCTTTTAGCATTGTATTAGTTGTTTTCTGAAGTTTTGACATATACCAAAAATCTTTCAAAAAACAGTTCAAACATTTTTAAGTAAGACAATCTTTACAAATATAAATACGATTGTTTACAATTGTTTAATTTGTTGTGTATAATAGCATTATTATAATTTTTTTATTAACTTAAAAGCACTTTACATCACATCACATATTATTTTGAAACAATTTACAATCAATTAGTAGCTTTGGATAACATTAAATCGAATATAAAAAATGTGTAATTTTACGAACATTACTAAAAAATATTAAGTTTACATACATGTATAATTTTAAATTCTGTCCATGACTACGGAGTTGTCAAAACAATATAAAGGTATTGTATTGCCATTAGAATTACTAAGGTTTAGTATTTAGTCATTTTTACCCTTCTACTGTAAAGTAATTGTCCAATTTAAGCCTAATGAAGGGAACATCATCAGGTTTTTTATTGGTTTAATTCATTGTTCCGATTAATTCCCATTAAACGAAGTCTTTCATTTGAACGAAATTGTTTTTTAACAGACTTGGAATGTCCTCGTAAATTTCGAAGAACTTGAGCATTTTCAGCATACTCCTGTGGATTATAGGTTAGCACGGGCGGCAAGTCATCCCAATTTTCTCCGGTTTCCAATGGATATCCTCGTGTTTGTGATGATGTAATCACCCTATCCGCTGCAGCTTGTTCTTCTCTGCGCCTATAATGCTCATAACCAGCGCGGTCAGGACAATTTTGGACGTGCCACTAAAAAAAAGTATTTATATATTTTTGATACTCATATTTACGCTAAATAAATAATATCTTAATACATACATCAAGCTCCGGCCCATTAAGGATATGAGTCACATTGAAAGGGCACGTCACCTTGGAAACATGTAAAAAATTCTTCCGGCATCGCACCAGGTGCACCTGAAAACGTTTTTTCAAAATCGAATGGAATGCAACGTATGGGCATTGTACATGTTCATCATGGGTATTCATTTTTTTCGTGTTCCCTAAGCTCTTTAATTGCCCTTTCTAAAACAAACAACGTGAACAAATAACTTTCATAACGGTATAATTTATTTTACTGAAATAATATTGAACTAGCAAAAACAACAACAAAACGTAAACCCATTACTCAGTGTAATCCTTATATACCAGATCGGAAAAAATACATATGATAAAATTCACAAACAGAAAAAGATATATGCACCTATTGATAACTAACGAAAAATAAAAGTAACGAAAACTAATTGCTTTATGGGGACCAAATTTAAATACCAACAGCTAAAACAAATTCAACTTCTTATATTCTAAACAAAACTGAAATCACTTCCGGAAAACGCTACTGCGCCACTACTGTCGTAAACAAACCAAGCGAGAATGTATATTGTTACGGATTTATCGATAAATCATCTACGTTGAAACTCTACCTTGATTCAATCACTAGATTGATAAATAAAAGACTCAAATTAATGGCTAATTCAAACAAGACGCTTTATTACTCATTATCCGAGCTTACAACTTTTTACTTAGATAAACAAGTAGTTGTTTTAATGTTATTCTTTGTGTGATTTATTCAATATGATTTATTTTTCTCAGTGTGAAAAACAGTGCTGCCAAACTCTTATTGTTTACATTATTTGACATTTATCCGTTGCATACAGAGAACGTATAATATATTATATATTATATTATATTAACATGTGCGCTCTACAAATGAAAACAATGTGCATTCTTTTGTAGTTTCTTTAATTATTTTGAATATTGTATTAAATTTAAGTGTTCAACATGCCACCCGTATCACAGGAAGGTAATTGTCTCATATACCGAGGCAGCAATTTTCTCAAGCAGGTAAATTTCATTGGGATTGACGTGAGCATTTGAATTACTAATATGGATTTTGATTCCTGTTTAGCGCCTTATACTGTCTTGCCTTAGCGGAAAGCCTGTACAAATAACACAAATTCACATAGACGATGAAACGGCTCCCGGTTTGCGTGAATATGAAATAGGTCTAATAAGGTTACTTGATAAGCTAACAAATGGTACCAAAATTGAACTCAATCCCTCGGGCACCTCTGTTCTGTTTACACCGGGTCTCTTGCACGGTGGTGTGTTGCATCACGATTGCTGTATTCAACGTGGCATGGGCTATTATTTGGATGCGTTAATAGCTCTTGGTCCGTTTTGTAAAAATCCCATAAATGCAACTTTAAAAGGCGTAACAAATAGTAAAGACTCACCATCAGTAGATCACATAAAAGGTTCAGCAATTCCTGTTCTTAAACGATTTTTAGTTGTGGATGAAGGATTAGAACTTAAAGTTGTTAAAAGAGGTGCAGCACCTCTTGGTGGTGGTGAAGTACAATTCCGATGCCCGGTACGTAAGAACTTACGTTCTCTGCAATTCCAATCTCAAGGCATGGTTAAGCGTATTCGCGGTACCGTATACGCATGCAAAGTATCGCCTGCAATGGCCAATCGCACTGTGGAAGCGGCAAAAGGTGTAATGTTAAAATTTCTTCCCGACGTATATATATACACTGATCAAAATCGTGGTAAAATGTCTGGTAATTCACCTGGTTTTGGTATTTGTTTGATAGCAGAAACAACTGATGATGTTTGTTATGGCGCTGAAAGCATCTCAAACAGCAGAGAAGACGTAAGGCTTTCATAAGATAATGAAATTTTTGTGATTTTGTATTTAACTTATTATAGGGGAAAGATCCTTCTGTACCTGAAGATTTGGGGCGCGAAGCTGCAATGAAATTACTTGATGAAATTTATCGGGGAGGCTCTTGTGATTCATCGTACCAATGGCTTGTCACCCTATTTATGGCTCTGAGTCAGAAAAATGTTTCAAAATTTTTGACAGGTAACGTGGTTTTGTGTAGTGCAATTAAAGTAAATTATTTAATTAAAATGTTTTATTGCAGGCCCACTCTCTACTTATACAATACATTTCCTACAAAATTTGCGAGACTTCTTTTCAATAACGTTTAAGCTAGAAAATCCAGAAAATGATGACGAAGAAGACGCCTTGCCAGGCGCCCAAAAAGTGCTGATGACATGTGTTGGCATCGGTTATACGAATATAAGTAAACGTGTCAACTAAAAATTTAAAAATTATTGTTTATATTTGGTGCATAAATGTGTTATGAGTCTATTATGCCGGTCATTTCTACATTTTATATCAAATAAAATATGTAATCTTCAGAAAAACCAAACTTTTTATGGTGGTTATGGGTTTAACAATCTTAAAACCGTTTGTTTAGCTTTTTTGCTACTCAAAATGTCTCAAAAATGTTCGTTTAATATTCCGAACTATTTTGTTATTATTATTCTGTGCAACAACAATTGTTTGGCAGTGCAACCAAGTTTGATAGAAGAATTGTGAACTTAAATAATTTTGAAGCATACGAATAGAAATAATTTTTAAATTAATTGTAAATGTTCAGCATAGCGTAAATGATCTGAATTTTTTTTTATTTTTTAATTCTACTTTACCGCCCATGCTTGCAACATTAAGCTTCGATGAAACGAAGGATCTGTATAATTTTTGTTTTAACCTGGCTCCATTGAAAAAAGTTTCCACACACGGCAACATTAGAAGAAAAATAATTGGTAGCACATGCTTTTAAAACGAACAGAACTAATTGTTACATACATTAATAACAGAGATAATATTCCGATTTAATTTGTTTTTGAGTACAGATTTAGAATTTTGGCAACTATATTTACAATAATAGGAATCCTTAATAATGCTTTCCTTAGAGAACGATGATGATGTAGTAGTGTGTCCTTACAATCCAGCGCATCGGCTGTTACGGAAACGGTTGCAACCTCATCTCATCAAGTGTCGTGAGAATTATCCACAACTTGAGCTTCAAAGGTGTCCATTTAATAATACTCATCACATACCTGAACCAGAGTTCTGTGTAAATAGTATATTTATGTATATTTATTTGGAACATTTTAATTTTTTATGAAAATATTACTTTTTAGCTTCATGTTACAAACTGTCCGGATCGAAAACTCATAACACAATATAAATACGACGCCCCAGAACCAAAGGAAGAAGAACGTGTTTCTCATGCACCGATTGAATGCGAAGAAAATTGGGATGATACAGAAGTTGATGATTACGATCCTCAGAAATTCATAAAGGAGAAAGAGGTTCTGCGTCAACCCATGGGAATTGCTCCAGCAGAACGAAAAGAGTTTATTAAAACAGAACGTAAACGTTTGGGCGATGAAGAGAGTTATAGTGAAAGTGACGATGATTATAAAGACGAGGTGAGAAAAGGAAATTCATTAGCTGATATTTCTAAAAAAGATGAGAACGGAAAACTAGGTTCAATTAAGCGGATACGCTCCATTTCGCCGTCACCTCCGCGTCAGAGTCGAAGTCGTTCTTCATACTACGAACGTACTCATGTACGTGGTGGGCATATACCACCTACTCAAATACCACCGCGAATTTCTTTTGCATCTAGTAGCAACCGATATTCCAACGACCATATTCAGCCATTGCCAACACCATATGACATTGATGACGATCCTTATTATAATAGCGGCAATGGTGCCTCTTTTCAGATAGGCAATTACAGCAGTAGTAATAGCAGCCACAATCCTCCTTTTATCGCTTATCCTACTCGCATGCCATATTTTAATAACGACAATGGTGCCTCTCATCAGATAAGCAATTACAACAGTAGTAACAGCCACAATCCTCCTCTTATCGCTTATCCTACTCGCATGCCATCTTATGGGCGTGGTGCTTACCGTGGGTACAATAATGATCGCGGAAATTCGTCACGTTATAATGACCGTTATTAAATTTATACCTGTATATAGTTTAATTCGCGCAGACTGACAAGTATTTACTATAGAATATTTTAAATTTTTTTCTTTAAAAAATACTGTCAGATACCACAATAATTCTACGCTTCTATAATTACCTTACGATTATGCACATTTTGATATACATTTTCTGGTAATGTTAATTTTTAACTGCAGCAAACATGTTTAATAAATTTTATTAGGAGCATATCGTCACCTGAAATGCAAAATAACGTAACATTTTCGGAAATTTACAGTGGTATGAATGAAACACGAAATAAAATGGAACATGAGTGAAGCAAACTTTTAATATTGGTTGAAACTGATTTATATCTGAGCGCAGAACCTGAAAATGTTGAACATATGTAATATTATGTATGTAATTTGTAGTAGTGAAGCGTAATCAATAAGACATTCAATTTAGAATTTTTTGATGATACGTTATTTTGCATTTCAGGTGACGATATGTATTTGTAGGTAGGTTTATTAAGTTAAAACTCAAAAATTCCAAATATAATACAGTTAGTTCAAATGAAATCAAATTTATCTTGAAATTGTCTTATGTAAACAATGCACTTCCTCTAAAGAAATTATAAGTTTTGTAATCGTTTGCGTTCAGCATTACGAAATGCAACTCTTTCTGATGGTTTCATTCCAACAGGTTGTCGTAATACATTTGATTTTTCAGCATATGCTTTAGGATCATATGATGGTACGCTTGGCAGATCGTCCCAATTTTGGGATGTTTCCAATTCAAAAGAAGTATTTGCAGTTTGCCAAGTTGAATTTGCTTCTGTTCCGTTGTCATTAAAGCTGGTGCACATTGATGTTCCAGATGCATGCGAGTCACTACTTTTAAAAACTTCAAACGACTGACGATTTGAACAGGTACTTACGTGCCACTGAAGTGAAAAAGAAACAAATGACCAATATTAATATGTATGGTATTTATTGTATTATAAGAATATTGTACGTATTATGGATTTGTTTTTGGAGATTAGTGGTACATTCTTTCGGACACAAAGTCATGCATCTAACTTACATCCAACTCTTGTTCATTCACCCGGTGTGTCACATTGAAGGGACACACAACCTTTTTAGCGTCTGGATGCGACTTTCGACAACGAACTAGATGAACTTGAAAACGGCAACGCAATATCTGATGCGATAGATTATAAGGGCAGGTAAGAATATCCACTTCTTCACCCACACGACGCAACATATTCAAGCAAGGATGTTTTATGGATTTGTGTTGAAACAAGATGTGAAAGATCTTGCAAAAAAGTTGTATTATTTCAACCCGACCTCTGGAGGAACTGTAAAGCCATGGTACAAGGGAGTAGGGAAAGTCCCATTTACCATAGCAAAATAGGCATTCACAGTCCTTAACCCACGCTCCAAGTGTACGTTCACAATAAAAACATCATGGCCACCTCTGGTGAATAAGGGTGGCGAGAGGTTAAAACGGGTTGCGTAAAGCAAAAATGCTTTAATATTAAATTATAAATTTACAGTACTATATTTATACATTTATAAGTAAAGAATGAAATTTAAGCTGTTATCAAAACATTTAATTATATCTTGTTGATATAAATAAATATGCTAAATATTTTTAAGTGTTTTAGTTAACTTATTCATGAACAAAGTGGAAATTATTTTTGATAATGAGTGGACCAAAAGAGATAACTATTATCGAAAAATTTGGAATTACATATCATAATAATTCGGCTGAAGAGTAAAACACAATTTTTATTGCAAGATAAATAAATATATAATTATAATAACCATGTTTCTTATATTTTAAGTATACATTTTTGTAATCACAAACTACATACACTTTTTATGTGTCAGAATTTAGCTATACGCCGACGATCAGGAATCCTACACGTTCCCAAATGGAGTGTTTGACCATCCTAACAGATTTTCCATATTATTTTTTAATTCTAAGCTAAGTTTTTAAATAAAAAGGATTCTTAAAGGAATTATTTTTTGATTTTGCAATATCTCTATAGTAGTAAAAAGTAGTTTAAATTCACTTACGCAATTCTATTTTGTCACGCTCAATAGCAATACTGGCATATTTGAAAAAAAAAATGAAATATATTCACTCAATATACAACTCAAATTCCTTAATTTTTAATAGCGGTTCATTATTAACCAAATTACATTTTTTTTTTGTTTTTTAAAGTTTAATTATCAATTTCCACATCGTTCATAATCGACCATACTTCACAATTGTACACCCAAATGACATCAATTAATTCGCTCAACTGGTAACGTTTTGGTCTGCAAGGCGGGTGTTGAGTGTTTAGCATATTAGAAAGTATGTAAATTAAAATTTGCTCAAAACATACCCAACAGCTTGATCGGGATGTTAGCGCAATTGACAATAGCTTGTGCAACATCCGAACAGCACATTCACCGTAGTAATTGCTCTTCCAAACCCTCAAGCACAAAGCTCATTGGTTTGGGACTAGCTTTTAAGGCAGACAAATAATCAAATGTTGTACACCAGCTTCTTTGCGATTCTATAAAAAAAATTAAAAAATACATGGTAAATCTTTTGAAATAAAGTTTAATTTTAGCTTACCTAGCAATGCGACGTGCACCTTCCACGAGCACGTCATTGAATTTAAAATTTGGCCTCAAATTCAATACCAACTAAGTTGATAGTTACATTTGACATACCTTGACCGTTCCCACGACAGTCGGGTCTACGAAAACCGGAACGGACCCGGATTTTTATCCGGCCAAGGACTGTGAACTCGGCAGAATTCTGCCGTTACAACAACACAACAACATAGTTACATTTGAGTACTTCACAGCATCGCGTATCACTTTTCATCTCTTAAATCATTGGAACAGCACCTGACACATTATGCAGCAATATTAACGAAGCCATGTTTAGTTATTTCGTACTTTTATTAGAATAAAATCCCAGTAGATCTGTTATTTATCTTCCTAATGGAAAGTTGCACCCAGATTCCAATAAGTAAAGAAACCATAGCAAAGGATTGTCCCATGAAATAAATGAACACAAATTGTTTTGCAAAAACCTGCGTTATGATGACAAAACTATAAATATGGCTGTGAATGAGCATATTCTGGACCCCACCATTCGACATAGTTAACATTATTCTCTGGTAAACTTACCACAGTTAAAAAGAGGCATAAATAAAAAACTTAACTTTTCATATATTTGCTCATATTGTTCTCATATTTAAAAGTACATATTAAAATAAAAATATTTTCTTCTGAAAATATATTAAAGTTTTATATATAACCAATATTTTTGGAACAACTTTTCCATTAATTTTTAGAAAATAACACAATGCAACCATTTTCCGGTTAAAAGTCGGCCATCTTCGATTCCAATAGAAACCCAACCCCGGACTCCCGTTTACGTTTCAACAAAGGTAGTTATCAGCTGTGCCTTTGTTTACATAACAACAGCTAATAGTGACACTACTCCTCCCTACGTCCTGTAAAGATGGGGCCATCATAGATTTCAAATTAAAAAACAATGTTGCCAACTATTGCATGCAGAGAAACTTCAACATAAAATTTTTGTTGGGTTTTACTTGCATATACCGTTACAATATAAATCTCTTAAGGATTATTCGTAATACCATGTTCAGACCGACACTTAATACACGATTTCGGCTGTTGAGTGGTTTATCCCACTAATCTTACAAATTTATAAAGATTTCGCCATACAAAAATGACAGTTCAAAATTACTTCATCGGAGTGATTTGAAACTGACATACGCTAAAGCTCTTTGTGCGACTCTGATTAATCATCTACTTGTCAGCATTGGAAATCTATTACATTATCACAGCTGATTTCTTAAGATATTCCGTGCGATATTCTCTAAATTTGACAGAGACAATTTTTGAGACTTGAGTCGATTTTGCTATTCTGTAAGTGATAGTCACAAACTCTATTGCATTTCATTATTCAGAGATGTTTTTATACTTGAATGAAAATAAATATGTCGATAACAAATATTAAATTTTCTATAACATAGTCAAAAAACATAACTATCAATAAAAAATAAAAGTATATGTTGACTTTGTTTCATAATATTAACGAAATTTATGTAAAATTTATTTATTTTTAACCTTTTCGTGTTTGAGTTGATTACAAAATATAAAAAAAACGACAATCGATTAATATCTATGGTGATCTCTATTTAGCATATTAAAAAGGCAGACAAGAGTTCTTTTTGGTTTTGCGACTACCAGGTCTCAAATTTGAGGCAATATTTTGAGACTAAAACCAGAGACTGTTTACAGAAGACAGATTCTGTTTACAGATTGACTACTGTGCATGTACATTCATTCTCAACAAAAAAAAGTCTTTATAATTTAAAAAGAAATTATAAAATCTATTTAAAATTTACCGTCCCCAACAATTTAACGTCAAAATATGTATTCAAGTAAAATGACAGTTAAAACAGGGTCCCAATTGTATTTTTGCTTGACATTGCAAGCAAATAAACATGGGTATTGTTCTGACATATTTTACAGTCCTTGCAAATATTCTTCAGCGTGTGTATTATTGTGTCGATGCATTGGGTGGAAAAATCTGCAATTCGTGGCCCGTGCAAAGATTTTGCAAGAGCAAGAGAATACCCCTAATGTTTAAATCGAATAATAATAATCGTTAGGAATTTCTATTTCAATTCCATTAATGATTTTAGCCTTAATCTATAAGGCAACGCCAACTTTTGACATTTATGTTCGCCATATTGGTTTTCAGTTCCAATTCGTTCCAATAGCATTTCTCTCTTTCTTCTACGGCTGTTCGCCATCCAAGATGGTAGGTCAAATTTTTATGGAAAAATCTTTCTATTTCTGTGCCATCATGTAGTGAAAATAAGTGAAAACCATTGCATTTTCAAGCTGAAATGTCAATTTGTCGAAAAATATGCTTATTTTGAACTAGCAAAATAAATACCTCAAAGTTCAGCCTTTTATAAGATGTGCTGAGCCAAAATCTCTTAAAGGAGTTATGATGGAAAATTTGAAATAGTGAATGCGAATTAAACGTACTCCACTTGATTTGGATCAAAATTACTAATAACAACTCTTTCTTCTATAGACGAAAGGTACATCAAGCTTTGGTAAACGCCATAATAAGACGCACACTTTGTGCCGTCGTTGCGGACGTTCATCCTACCACATTCAAAAGTCAACATGCTCCCAATGTGGATATCCCGCTGCTAAGTTGCGTTCATGTAAGTATTTAATTTAATTGTATTCATATTACATTGATCGAGAAGATTTATTTTTAAAGAAAATGAGGTTACCTTCACAGACGTGGTTTTGCTACACAATTCTCGATAGTGTCATGATAGTAGATAGAAAAAAAAGAAGTGCAACTCGACGTATGGCGTTACAGATTTGGTGCTATTGGAACACTTTACTGTGTCATTTACTTGCAACACTCGTTTACTTCAATCCTCATACAATTTTATGCATTTGAACTAATTTGTTGTTAACAACATACCAGTGTTCTCCAATTCATCTATTAATTCGTTAATTCGAAATATATGCGATTCCTTTGCATTGCTAAATCTGTACCTACAGGTGTTTCCAACAGTCAAAGTATTCAGTACGGTCGAATTGGATATTTAAGTGCCAAAGAAAAGTCTAGTGTAAATTTTAGAATAGCATCCCCGATTTCGGTTTTAAAATTGGATAGATTTCCTGTCATTTGGGTATTATTTGTTTTTTTTTTTTTGGTTCTGTAAAATCTACTTAATGTAACAATGATTATTAGTTGGAATGCAACCCTTTTGTTATTGTGTGAACAAAAATAATTGAACAAAAATTAAATATTGAATAAAAGTTATTTTAACAAAATTTAATACAAAATAATTGGTTAGAAACAAATTATCGAAGGTTAGTGGACATAAAAGTTATAGGTATAAAATTCATTCTAAATAGTTGAATTTTTGAACTTTAAACGCAAATATCTCAAAAACCATAAGTCAGCGGCAACTATATATGTGAATTTTCTTGATCTGGTGGACCTCCTCTATCCGCACATACCCATCTTAACCCCGAAATCGGGGGGATGTTATTCTAAATCCAAGCCGTATTTACTTTGTTTTATACATATTACATTAATCGAGAAGATTTACTTTTAAAGAAAATGAGGTTACCTTCACAGACGTGGTTTTGCTACACAATTCTCGATAGTGTCATGATGTAAATAAAAAAAAAAAGTGCAACTCGTCGTATGGCGTTACAGATTTTGTGCTATTGGAACACGTCTACTGTTTAAATAAAAATTGTTTACTTCAAACCTCATATGTGAATTAATTTGTTATTTTTTTGACAAAATACGAGTTTTCTCCAATTCATATATTGATTTGATAATTCAAATATATGCGATTCCTTTGCATTATCAAATTTGTACCTACAGCTGTTCCCAAAAGTCATAATGCGTACATTAGGTCGAATTTTGAAGCACATGTTTTAATGGGAACCTTTAGTTGACACCTTAGGAATATAATATTTAAAGGGTTATAAAGTTGAAATATACTGTTTGAGTAATATTTCTTGAATTTCTACGATTTAGTTATATGTATGAAAGTGGCAAATATCTCCTATCTTACCATTTATATTCAGCTTAATTGAAAAACGCATGGCAGCTTAATTTTGCAATATGAATTTTTAAAATCACAATTCTTGCTTTAACTATAATAATATTTCGTTTAAATTTTCATTTTATTTTGCAGACAACTGGTCAGTGAAGGCTAAGAGGAGGAAGACCACTGGCACAGGTCGCGTGCGTTACTTGAAAGTGGTCAGACGTCGTTTCCGCAACGGTTTCCGTGAGGGTACCCAAGCTAAACCCAAGAAGACCACCCAGTCTAAATAAGAGACCTAACATGTACCAACGCTTATTAGTCGATGTTTGTTTGTCTACTGTCTGGGGTTGATTTCTTTTAAGGAATTGTTAAACTAAAAAGGAGATAAATAAAATATTCTGTTTTTTTGTAAAAACAATAGCATGCATTTTATTTAAACTTTTTGTGCAAGATACCGCAAAGTAAATGTTTTTATCTATTTACAATTTGTTTCTCATTTCCAGTATGCTTAAGTGTCAACTGTCAAGTTGTGGATGAAAATAAAAGCTTCAGCAATGTTAGTTTGATGTCCAAAATGTTTAGGAAAATAAAAGAAAAATTTTGTTTCTAAATTATATTTGTTTAATATGGGTATTTATAAATTAAAAATTATTCTTGGACAAGTTGACATACTTATGTACATAACATATAGAAGGTAAAGGTATGTAATTTACAGCAGTAAAGGGCGTACGCATCACAGACTTATGGACTAAACCTCGAGCTAATTATTAAATAATGACTTAATTACGAACTTTAAGCTAAATAAAATATTAACCAGTTTATTGAACTAAAATCTAATGACTATTCGCTGTGTTCATGTGTGACTTTCCCATTTGAAGTCGTACTGTTGGTCAGTGTTGTGGATGCTGTGGTGTTTGACTCTGACGTGGGATATGTTTCTAATAATTGTGGTTGTTTCGCATCGCTACTGATTTGTGTTGATGTCTTCACAAGTCCATTTTCCAGTTTTTTGCTCGGAGCGGGCGCGCGTTTGAAAATAAGTTTTTTAATATTTTGGAATGGCGCATCGAAAAAGATTGTCAGCGCAACCGACGCAAGGAATATGCAAATAAATTCATTGGTATCAAGCTGTAAGGGTATTTTGTAAAAAAATATTAAATATTTATTTTTGTCAAAAATATGTACATATGTGTGATGTACTTACAATGATGGAAACGAAATTGTAGTAGTGATGAATGTGACGCCGGCGGCCAACATTAAAGAAAAATACCGGGAATTGTGTTAGGTAAATGGCGTAGGACAATTTTGTAGACACTTGAAAACCCTTCCATGAAAGCATCTCTGTGAATTTGTCTAAGAAGAGGAGTTAATAAATGAGCAGTGATAAAATAAATACTTTTTGTTGAACTAAACTCACTCTTATAGCCATTATGCGAAACAAAAACGATCCACGCAAAGAATATACACCAAG